GGCCTGGAGCTAAATTTTTGGAAATTTTAGTTATATTCTGTTGGCCTGTAGAGATGATTTTTACAGGCCCGAAAGCAATTTTACAAACCTGGGCTGCTGGGACTGTGGTAAACCAAGAAGACTGAAAACCTGTATGAGTCCAAGTGAAACTTAGAATTTGTAAAAAGTAATAAAAATAAAAATATCGAGCATCCATTCGTAGCAATGAAATCATTTCAAAACACATAAAGTTGAAATTACTTCAAAAATCATTCAGTCTAATGCTACATGCTACAGCCTAATTTTAAATTGTATGTTGTGAAAAAAACAAAAGGTAAAAATCTCACTGCATATAAATTTGATAAAACATTATCCAATCTAACAAAATCAATCACATATTATATAGCTTCAAAATCAAAAGTGTTTAAATCATTTGCTTTTGAAATAATAGTCAGTTCTTCGAAATGCATTTCTGTAAACAAAATCGTTTTCTACGGCAAAACTGGCTTCCACTTACCTAGAGCCGGCAAAATAGCATATTCAAAATAGCATATTTACTATTTTGCCGGCGCCGGGCTAACACCTCAATTTATATATACTTTGAGTCAAATTTAGCCTAACAATGTTAGATCTGCAAATTTGCAAAAATAAATATCCATTGAGAAATTAAATAAACTGAAAATCTAAAGCAAAACAATTTGTTAAAATCATGGAGAACAGGCGTGACACGCCGTTTTTCCCCAGAAATGATGAGGCCGACATCCTTACAAAAACATCTACACTGGGTGCAAAAGATATACCACTAGAGAGGAACATTATAACCTAACATGATGTCAAAAACATAGGACATACAAGAGCACCGCAAACAAGAGGCTCTCAAGAGCCTGAATCTCTCACCTGTGATTTTTTTCTTAAATCTTTCATCAATGATTATTTTTGCTTTTCAATATATATTAATGAGTGGCTTAAAAATGCCATTTAAATGTTCTTTGTATCTATCATATTTTCTTCAAAAGCAAAAAAATCCATTTTAGGGAGCTACCATTTGATTTTTATGGGTGCTAGGATGAAATTTGAAAAAAAAACAGGACAGGAGTTTTGAGTAAAAAAAAATGCAGGATGAGCAACTTGGCAACAAAAAAAAGGCAGGATGACAATTTATGTAAAAAAAGTCAGGACGAATTTAAAAAAATGCAGGACCGAATAAAGTGAAAAATAAAAAAGACACGACAGAGATTACAACTAAAACAGGACTCACCTGTAATTTTTTTGCTTAAATCTTTCATCAATGAATATTTTTGCTTTTCAATATATATTAATGAGTGGCTTAAAAATGCCATTTAAATGTTCTTTGTATCTGTCATATTTTCTTCAAAAGCTAAAAAATGCATTTTACCCCTATGTTCTATTTTAGCCATATTGGCTATGTTTCTTGACATACAAGCAAATAAAATACAAAATTTATACTAGATACTCTGAAACTCATTCAGCCCAAGTTTGGCTGAAATTGATTCAGCAGTTTCAAAGGAGAAGATTTTTTAAAGTTAGAAAACATGATAAACAAATTGTGTAAAATTTTCCTTAAAGGGCAATAACTCCTTAAGGGGTCAATTGACAATTTTGGTCATATAAAACTTATTTGTAGATCTTACTTTGCTGAACATTTTTACTGTTTACAGTTTATCTTTATCTATAATAATATTCAAGATAACCAAAAACTGCAAAATTTCCTTAAAATTACCAATTTACTGGCAGCAACCCAACAATGGGTTGTTAGATTCATCTGAAAAATTCAGGGCTGATAGAACTTGAACTAATGAACATTTTTATCCCATGTCAGATTTGCTCTAAATGCTTTAGTTTTTGAGATATAAGCCAAAAACTGCATTTTATCCCTGTTTTATTTTTAGCCATGGCGGCCATGTTTTTTGACGAAACAGAAAGTTAAACACAAACTTTATTCTAGATACCCTAAGGATCATTCAGCTTAAGTTTGGTTGGAATTGGTTCAGTAGTTTCAGAGGAGAAGATGTTTGAAATAGTTTACAACGGACTGACGCCGACGACGGACGACAAAGGATGCCAAGTGATGGCAAAAGCTCACATTTCCTTTGGAAAGGTGAGCTAAAAAGGCAGAAATATTGGAAAAATGAGAATAAGGCAATGACTACACAAGAAAATACCAACCATTAAGGACATAGTCGCCCAACTGAGAATAGGATAAACAATTACTGAAACGCCAATTGATCTATCAAATGGTGAGCACCATAAATACTAATTTATCCGGAAGTGTCCCTTCTACGAAAATGTAGGGGGAATTATGTACTATAAAATAACGGAAGATGTTGGGGTAAGGTAAACCAACCTAGCTACATTACTCACTATAATAGACTGCAGAACGAGGAAACAAGCAACCAATTTAAGCACTAAGAAAGTAGGTAGGGAAAAAATCACCAGAGAGTATACCTGCACCCTGGATGCATATTGTACCTAAATGCCAGAAGATTGAGGTTTTACTGACCTACAATCAATGTCTCATTATTGTGATTAGTTTGTTGTTATTTCTAAATCAGAATTTAAATTTAAAACAGCTATTATAATAGGAGAGATGACATTAAAATCAACCTTATTTTTTAACTTTGGGATGCACCAGAATTTCAAAGTTGTTCTTACAATGATAACAACATGGGCGGTGAGGGAACACTCGAAATTTAAAGTTTGGATGGTATAGACGATAAACATTTTTCCCATCATGCAATAGTTTCACGAGAAAACTGCATGCAGGCGTGGATCCAGCCATTTTGAAAAGGAGTACAGGAACACCATGAAACAAACACATCATTGAATAAATGGAGAATGTGTCTTAACATTTAATTGAGGCAAACTAAAGTTAGAGAACGGAAACTAATTTTGGAAAGTTCGTATGTACGGAAGGACAACGGTAACACTTATTCATGGCGGGGCATAAAAAACAAAAACAAAACAAAAACAAAAATCGAAAAAAAGGCTGAGTCCCCCTCCCCCCCTTGGATCCACCAATGGTATGGTAGCTATACATTATTGATGTTTCAATGTATAAACAGCCCTATTACCGTATTAGACCAGCATTGACCTATCTGCTTACGGTTATCACATTACTCAACATTGATTGGTGATTCCATGAAAGTTAGGTCAGAGCAAGGACTTGTATAGTATAGTCTTTCTATACAAATCCTTTGTTAGGGTCAGATAGACATTATCAGTACAACGAACATGTAGACCTTACAATGATTAGAAATAAATAATAGATGTAACTGATCTATTGCTTTTTAAAAAGTGAGCAAATTTCCTCATCATGAAAACTTAACATTGGTCAGATGTAACTTGTCAACTAGACATGTACACCTTATAATAATTCTGTTCACCAAATATATTTGACTATCATTCTTTATTAAGAAACTGCCCCAATCCTGAAAACGTGACATTTACCAATTAAACTGAAGTTAAAGTAAGAGGAAACCTGTCAAACAGACATGTACACCTTACACACATTCTATATACTATCAAATATAGCTGACCTTTTATTCATAATAGCTGTAAGTGACCAAATTATGCAAATATAATGTTGATCAATAAAGCATAAAACTGAGGTCAAGGTCAGGTGAATCATGTTTGATTGGCATACATTCAGGTGAATCATGTTTGATTGACATACTTCTATACACTAAAAGTAAATTACATGTTACTTATTATGAAGATCACATGATAAATCAAAGTGATCAAAAGCACTAAAATGTTAATCCGTGTAATTCCTCAGTATAAACATGATACAACCTGGGACCAATAAATCTATAATTAGGAAGCTGATGAGCAATGAATCTGAAAACGTATCACATGTTTTAGTATTTTCACATGAAGTCTGATATCAAATGTCAGGAAGCTCTGAATTCATGTAAACAAATAATTACACTCATGTAACTATGCATAATCTATAAGTTTTACATGAGTTGATGAGCAATCAATCAGAAAATGTACCACACATTTCAGCACTTTCAAATGAAATCTGATACCAAACTACAGGAAGCTCTGATTTTGTAGTTCCTGAGAAAAATGCAATAGAAGTTTAGTGTTAGGATGGACTACTGATGGACAGATGGAGGGACAGACAGTAGTAAAACAGTATACCTGCCAGTATACCCCCTCCTTTGGAGAAGAATATAACTATATTTCAAAACAGATTTAGTGGCTAACAAAACTACATCCTGGTTGGTGAGGCAGATGCCTAAGGAAAGAATTGAAACAATAGTAAAAAAAACTACGAAGTTTTTAGGCAATTATTGAACCATGAACTTGAGATAAAAGACAAAAGTATACCAGATGGAAAATTCAGACTATAAGATATCTGCCTATATATAGAATTTTCAAGCTCTTCTACCATCTAAAATATTAAGTTTTATACAAAAGGTAATTGTCAGAAACTGTTAACAGCCATGGATTGGCATACTGATGTCTTGCATTCTACTTCATCCCAGATGAGATAAAAAATATGGAAAGAATAAACAACACTGGACTTAAAGAAACCCTTTTCAAAGCATTTTAACTGATTCATTGGAAGCAAAATTGTTGATAAAACAGCATTTTCCTTGCATAACATACATATATAAAACCAATATATATCTTCATTATTCTATTTTATTCCTTTCTTCTGACTGCTAACCTTGAGCACACTGTCAAAACTGGATATCTCTTTACATTACCATCTTCAATTCTCTATATGTATGAGAATTGAAAAAAAAATAGCTCTTCAAAAATAATTAAATTTAGCAAATACAAAATATAAATGTGTTAAGGAAAACACTTGATAACCTCTATATTTAACTCTGTCTTTTTCTTGTAGTTTAATCTGTCATTTTTAATTCCAAAGATGTCATGATTTTTTATTCAAATTTACTTCCATAGCATTTTCCTTTTCAACAGAGAATAGCAAAGCTCAGTAATACACTGGATGAAAGACATTGAGTAGTTTCTTAAATTGTCCTCACATAAAATCATCTGAGTCATTATCAGCATCCTAAAATAGAAAAAATAAATATCATATTAGATTATAAAATCAAAACTAGAGGCTCCAGGAAACCTATATCATCTTTACCACATATGTAATCAAATATAGATTAGATAAACAATTCACCAATATAATCAATCTGTTTTGGATGTTTGTTGAACTTTTCTACACATTTTCACTCAATAAGGTCTGCTGTCAATTCCACTGTTGACGTTCAGAGTCATTGGCAATGACGTTGTGCAATCACAGTAGATGTTTCCATCAAATTTTAAAAGTTTTATTTTTAAATATTTTAGAATTCATTTCATTTTGAATATTTTTAGCACATGTATTTTGCTTTTTTGTGAATAGTTTGGTCATTTCGATGATAACAAGACGTTCTGCTTTTTCCATCTATCGAATTAAGTTCACATCTAACCAGTTTAACAGGTATTTTATCAACACAGTTTGCATTTACATGCATGATACAAACATTCCAACTTTTTTTTTTATTTTGTAGATGGATGTTTTTGTATGAGAACAACATGTTGTCAGCTATTTATGAAATTCAATGTCAAATATTACATATGAAAATAAAATTTGTTATTTGTTATACAGAAATTAGAAATGTTTCAGATTCATATGTAAGAAGTAAAGTAGAATATCAATAGAATTATCCATATTTTCTTAAATTTTACTTTGTTTTTTTAGTACAATTATTTACCATTTCATGTGACTCAACTGAGTTTTTCTCAGTTTTTCTCAGTTGATTTAAGTGAGAAGATAACTATTAAATAAGCCAACAGGTCATTGAGGTTGCCTAGGAAAATAGCAGATTATCTATGGTCTTTCAACTAGAGGAAGCTTTTAGTCTACATCTCAACTCCAGGCTATTGCCCTTCCATGAAACTCCTTCTTGTTTATAAATCCATAGATTACTTATACAAAACAGTAATGTATTTGTACAGTTGCCACTGTCAATTGGTATTTGACTAGCAAATATCTGCATTACTAGCTCTGCTCTGTATCCTAGGGTAAACTGCATTTGAAACCATCTTTGATGGTGGCAACTCTTCAAACACAATACTGTTAATCCTTAAATATTAACAATTTAGATGAGAAGACTTTTTTTTCTAATATCTTATGAACTGCATTTTAGGTCAGGTAAAATAATAAAATTAATTGATTCTGGTTATCTTATATTCAATAACTTGAATTACAAATAAATAATTATAAATTAATAAATTCCTTAAATTGATTTTTTCTTTCTTATATGATTTTTCTCCCCCGCATAAAGCGTTGCGGAGGACATGGAAATACTTGGCGTCAGTCCATGTGTCTGTCAGTCCGGTTTTGTTAGCGCTCTCACAGGTACAATTCTTGGCAGATTTTTATAAAACTTACACTATAGGTTAATATCAGCAGTATCTCGAACAAGTTCTATAATGGTGGACGATCGACTTTTTTTAAAAGAGTTATGACCCTTGGAAATATTAAATTTATGGAAAATGGCATCGTTTGCGCTCTCATGGGTACAATTCTTGCCAGATTTTTATAAAACTTATACTATAGGTTTAATATCAGCAATATCTCATACAAGTTCTATAATGGTGGACGATCAACTTTTTTTTAAGAGAGTTATGCCCCTTGGAAATATTAAATTTATGGAAAATGGTCTCGTTAGCGCTCTCACAGGTACAATTCTTGCCAGATTTTTATAAAACTTATACTATAGGTAAATATCAGCAATATCTCGGACAAGTTCTATAATGGTGGACGATCAACTTTTTTTAAAAGAGTTATGACCCCTGGAAATATTAAATTTATGGAAAATGGCCTCGTTAGCGCTCTTACGGGTACAATTTTTTATTAAACTTATAGTATACTATAAGTAATGCCCTTGAAAGTCTGTTTGAAATATTAAGTAAACAATAAAAAAAACTTTTTTGTCCCCTGCGGACACTTTTTATTTATAAATTGTTTTAAAGAACAACAAAAAAAAGTTTTTTTTTAGTTATTGCCCCTGGATAGATAAAATATGTGCAATGCGGGGGACATTGGAACTTTGTTCTTTTATTTTTTTTTCTTCTATGAAATTGCAAATTGTTTTTGGTTATGATTTAAACATTAACAGACATTAAAGAGGGGGCAGGGGTTGGGTATATACAATATACTTATTAATTTTTGTTGGTACCAATTTTCGTGACTTCAGAACAAATTGTATTTTTATGGATACTTGATTTTTTTGGTTTTAGCAAATTCTGAATACAAGTCTTTAGTAAGTTTGTATTGTGTTGAAGAAAAGATTCATGGTCAACTTTTACCAATGGTATTCACAAAAAATTGTTTTACCACAGATAGTACTAAATCCAAAGTATATCATGCATTTAGTGAACATAACAGTTTTGTACATTTTTTTTTCACAACATTTCTGAAACTCACCACATTTGATGTCATATTTTCCGGCCTCATAAGTGAGTCATAAGATCTATAAAATCAAAAGAATAAAATATTAATTTTGTTTTTTGTTTAAAGTAAAACCTACAATAATTCAAGAGTTAAAAATTTAACATATGTTTCAAAAGTTGCTTGTTAATTTAAGGATTTGGTATTCATACCAGATATTAAGTATTATCTTTGGAAATCATTCAAAACCTGAATTTGGAAGATTACAATTTTGAAATAATCCTCGTCTATTATACATGTTGTAGAGTACATTTTATTGTCTTTTTTGCTTTGTGATGTTAGGTTTCTGTCTAATTGAAGTTAATGCCATATATTCTTTTCTCTGTATTTGATATGTATGATTATCTTTTGAAGGTCAAAGTCCTCTCTCATCCATTATACTTTTGATTTTTATTTAGCTATCAGTAACAAAACAATCAGATCTGCAGATAATAACTGATCAATTAGGTTCTACTTCCCTCACTATTTTTGAACTCAAATGAGTCATGATCATTATTTTCTGATTTTTTGATTCAATCAATTAAGATAAGTTTATGCGAGTTAATAAAAAGATCCCAATTTGATTTGGGGTCATAGGATAGCTGGTACCAATAATTTTCACATATCCAGGTAATCCACAATGTATACCCAGGTTATCAATGATTCTAAGATGATGCTATTCTTTTGATTAATTAACAAAGCCCTGTTCTAACTACAACATAGAATATTGTATTGAATTTACACACCTTATTGTCTCGATACATGTGTTGACATTTTTGCACTTATCTATTTTATTTTCTGTATTAACATTCATACCTAGTTTCAGCATCCTTTTTCTTTTTATCTTCATCTTCCTTTTCTCTTTTTCTTTGTTCCTGTAATTTTTTCTTCTGATCTTCTCTTTCTTCTCTATCTCTTTGCTCTCTCTCTGCACGTAAATCTACTGTTCGTTCTGCTTTTGTTTTATTAAGTCTATTTACAATTTCATTCATTCTTTTTTCTACTCTTATTTTTCTCACCTAAAGTTAAAATGCATATCTTAGTACTTGTAATTGGTAGCAACATGTATAAAAAATGAACCAAAAGGTAAATTTATCATTTAAAATTTTTGAAAACAGTTACCATTTTCAATCTATGAACAAACTTTGCATCAGAAAAAAAAAATGTGTGAGTCTTCTAAGGAGGATGGTTACGTCCATGATTTGTAATGGTGAAACTCTATTAATCTCTCAGATCAAAAATTAAGATAGCAGATGCACATCTCTATGCCCTGTATTAGAATCTGTGGAAGATTTGTAGAATTCTGTCCAGCCTTTTTCAAAGATTTGCAGATAAGCAAACAGATTTAAGCAGACATGACTAAGGTCAAATTTTGGTATAGGAAACCACAATAAACAGCTGCGCCATGAGCGCATGATACGCCCGTCGTCTTGTGTGTGAATTTTTATGCAATAAGCATAAATAGTTTCTGACATACGGCATGACATGCGAAAACCCCCTTTTTTTTTTACAAAAAAACTCAATATCTCTAAAATAAAATTTTGAATCAAAACCAAAAAGTATACAGATCTTTAGATTAATATAACTAAGAAGTGTGTAAAATTTTAAGCAATAATCATGAATCGTTTTTGAGATACGGCGCGACATGTGAAAACCCCCCCTTTAAAAAAAAAAAAAAAATCAATATCTCAAAAATAAAATTTTGAATCAAAACCAAAAAGTATACAGATCTTAAGATTAATATAACTAAGAAGTGTGTAAAATTTAAAGCAATAATCATAAATCGTTTTTGAGATACGGTGCGACATGTGAAAAACCCCTCCCCCTTTATTTACAAAATACTCAATAACTCAAAAATAAAATTTTGAATCATCACCAAAAAGTATACAGATCTTAAGGTTGATATAACTAAGAAGTGTGTAAAGTTTTAAGCAATAATCATAAACTGTTTTTGAGATACGGCGCGACATGTGAAAAACCCCTCCCCCTTTTTTAAAAAAATACTCAATATCTCTAAAATAAAATTTTGAATCATCACCAAAAAGTATACAGATCTTAAGATTAATATAACTAAGAAGTGTGTAAAGTTTTAAGCAATAATCATAAATTGTTTTTGAGATACGGCGCGACATGTGAAAAAAAACACACACCTGTTTTAGTTACTAAGTCCCGTAACTCAAAAAGTTTTAATCTTATTTTCACCAAAAAGTATACAGATTGTTTGACCATCATAAGAAACAACTGTCTTAAGTTTCATGAAATTTGGATAAGTCATTCTCAAGTTATGGTGCGACATGTTTACGCCGGACAGACAGACGGACAGACAGACAGACGGACAGACAGACGGACGGACGCCGGACATTTGTATACCATAATACGTCCCGTCAAAAATTTGACGGGCGTATAAAAATTATTCAAATCTAGGAGCAGATACTTTCTTTATACTGAAATGGATAGTGTTACCATGCTCAGTGATTTTCAGTTTTTTATTACCTCTTTATCTTTGAAGAAGCCAACTTGTCCCACATCCATTGAACCAGTCTTTTTCAGATTGTCCCACATTGTATAAACTACATCTACATTGTTCATTTTATTTCCTGCAAATTATGATATATATATATTATGTACAGGTATTTGTATCTAGTTTAACTATTTTAAGTGTTTTTTAGGTTAAACTACAAAAGAAGAAACCATGATAAGGTTTTTTTCTTGCCCTTTGTATTCAAAGAAAGAATGAGCTGTCAAATTTAAAACGGTTTTCCGTATTTTGAAGGCACTTTCAGGCTTGTTTGACCTGCCAAGTTCTGTGCCTATATTCCAATTTATCACGGATCATAACTCCTGAACGGCAAAAGTGAAAATTATCAATATGAAATTGACCTCCATTTTGTAATCAGTAGTAACAAATCAAAATTTGGAAAGCATCAGCTAAACAGTTCATACATTATTACATTGAAATGACAAAGTGCAAATTTAAAATCTATCAAGAACCATAACTCCTGAACCGTAAAAGTGAAAATCATCAATTTTTTTACCTTGCCCTCCATTTTGTAATAAAAAACAACATTTTAAAATTTGAAAAGCATTGGTTAAATGGTTCATAATTTTTGCATGGAAACAACATTAAGTGCCATTTTCCAGTCTATCAAGTACCATAACTCCTGAATGATAAAAGTGAAAATCATCAATATCAAACATGACCTCCATTTTGTAATCACTAATAACATAAAAAATTTGAAAGGCATAAATTAATGTGCAGAAACTGTTAGCAGCTGTCTGCCAGCATGCCACCCTCTGTACTTCACCATATTATTAACCAGGTCTTTCTTTCAGAAAACTTGGTTCAAAATTACAAATCTATCAAATAACATCCTACATATGCAAACCGATATTTTTGTCAAATCGGATTTCAAATCCAATTTTGCTGTGTCATGTGAACTGTGTAAAATAACATAGCCCTTTTTGGATATGTGAAATTATGATGTATATATGACAGCACAGTGATATCATAATGATAAATCCATCCCTGTTGTTGGTGACAGAATAAATTTAAAACCTGATATACTGTTGGCTTTAACTAATTGAGCACAATCTTCTATAACTGCTTGTGGTAGATCATCTAATGTCTCATACTGAAATATAAAAAAATATTGCATGAAATATAGAATAAAATGCTCCGCAGGGCGCAGCTTGATACGACCGCAGAGGTCCAACCCTGAACAGTTGGGGCAAGTATGGACACAACATTCAAGCTTGATACAGCTCTGAATTTGGATTGTGATTAAATATTTGACACAGCATAGGTTTCAGACACAGAATGAATGTGGTCTAAGAACTTAAAAATTTTAAATTGGACATTCACCTATTATGGTCCAATATCCAAAATCTAAATACATGGTTAGATTCAGCATATCAAAGAACCCCAAGAATTCAATTTTTGATGAATTCAAACAAAGTTTAATTTTGGACCCTTTTGATCTCAATGTAGACAAAGTTGATAACGGGGCCCAAAAATCAAAAATCTAAATACATGGTTAGATTCAGCATATCAAAGAACCCCATATATTCAATTTTTGTTGAAATCAAACAAAGTTTAATTTTGGACCCCGATTTGGACCAACTTGAAAACTGGGCCCATAATCAAAAATCTAAACACATGTTTAGATTCAGCATATCAAAGAACCCTAAAAATTCAATTTTTGTTAAAATCAAACTAAGTTTAATTTTGGACCCTTTGGACCTTTATGTAGACCAATTTGAAAACTGAACCAAAAATTAAGAATCTAAATACACAGTTAGATTCGGCATATTAAAGAACCCCAAGAATTCAAGAATAAAACCCCATTGAAATTGATCAAGAAATAAGCAATTTATACGAAGTATATTCTTTTGCACAATACTGTGCAATTGAATATTTCTTGCTATTGCGCAATACTGTACAATTGACAATTTCTTGCTATTGCGCAATATTGTGCTATTGGATATTTCTTGCTATTGCGCAATACTGTGCAATTGAAGATTTCTTGTTATTGCGCAATACTGTGCAATTGAAGATTTCTTGCTATTGTGCAATACTGTGCAATTGAAAATTTCTTGCTATTGCACAATACTTATTGTATATTAATTTACACATCCTGTTTGGTGTGTATCTCCAACCATATCATTATTATTTGCTTTTAAATATAAATCAGAAATAACCAACTTAAAATGGAAAATTTTAAAAGAAAAAAAAAAGGAAAAAAAGAAAAAAAAAGAAAAAAAAAAAAATCCCCCCCCCCCCAAATTTTTTGAACCCCCTTATGATTCATCACCCCCAAACTCAATCCCAGCCTTCCCTTTGTGGTATGGTACCTTGCAGTACAATTTCAGAGAGATCCATACACTTGAACACAAGTTATTGTATGGAAACTAGAAAAATGCTTATTTTTGGCCCCTTTTTGGCCCCCAATTCCTAAACGTTTCGGGCAATTACCCCCAAACTCAATTCCAGCTTTCCCTTTGTGATATGGAACCTTGTAGTACAATTTAAGAAATATCCAAACACTTACACACAAGTAATTGTCATGAAACTAGAGAAATGCTTGTTTTTTGCCCCTTTTTTGGCCCCTAATTCCTAAAATTTTGAGGCAATTACCCCCAAAATCAATTACAGCCTTCCCTATGTGATATGGAACCTTGTGGTACAATGTCAGAGAGATCCATACACTTACACACAAGTTATTGTCTGGAAGTTACAAAAATGCTTATTTTTGGCCCCTTTTTGGCCCCTAATTCCTTAACTGTTGGTACCATAACCCCCAAAATCAATCCCAACCTTCCTTTCGTGGTATTAAACCTTATGGTAAAATTTCATGGAGATCCATTCACTTAAACTAAAGTTAGAGTGCGAAAACCAATGTGTCTTCGGACGACGCCGGACGACGCCAGACGACGACGACGCCAACGTCATACCAATATACGACCAAAAAATTTTTAATTTTTGCGGTCGTATAAAAAGGACACAAGCTGCTATTGTCTATTTCAATATAGATGTAAATTGTCACACTTTTTACATTACTGGTAATTGTGTTAGGTCGATTCCTGTGACTCATCAAACTGATACTTACCGGATGAAGTCTGAGGTAGACGTGTGCTGAGGATACTTTATCTACATGGAACCTACAAAAGTAAAACTATTGTATTATGGAATTAAAAAAAAAACTATTGTACTATGGAACCTACAACATTATTGTACTGATACTGATTATTTTCCATAACGAAGTTTAATATATACTAATAAAACGTTTTGAAAAAGAAATAACGTAGGTGAGAAAGCTCATGCCTTTAACGTAAAAATTTTGCTGAAAAAGGACTAATTTTCAAGGTCCAGAAAAATGCAGAAAAATTCCTTAAACTATACTACATGTATAATCTCAATACTTATTAATGGAACTTGACCAACATAAAATTTAGGAGACTTTTGTTCATCGTTCAGCATGTTTTTATCTTATATCAATATTTTGGTTTAAACTTTGACTATGTGTTTGAAATGCATGTCAAATGAAACAAAATGTCTTCTGATGAAAAACTAGATGGCTCCATCTGGTTTTAGACCAATGACATAAGAAGGATTTCGAATCTTTCCAAATAATAATGTCATGAAACTTTTTGTCAAATGTTTGTAGACTTCTCTGGCATATATTCCATTGTTATCAACTGTTTTTTTATTGTCTCAACTTATATTTTTAATTAAGGTAGATATTCTAGGTAACTGAACAGTTTTATGATGCTTAAGAATTCTCTCATCTACTGTCCAATATTAGGTACTTGCCATACATCTTCAGGAAATCCCCATTTAATTAAGTCTTCATCTATAATTCAATTGGAAATGAAATAATACATGTATCATCAAAATACAGACTACACCTACATTAACCTTTACCATAGTATTAGTTTACAATATTTTTTATTCCTATTTAGTCTTTATTTTAACATAACCTGGTAGTCTGCTTAGATATATTTCATATGAAAACTACAAATATTAAACCTGGTCAGATAAAAAAAAAACTCCTTGAATTCCACTGGAAAATATCATGACATCATGACATCAAGAAAGGCTGCTAACAATGAGTACATTGACCAGGATCAAAGATCAGATTTTAATATTTCCAATATAAAATTAACATGTCTTGGATGGAGAGTTGTCTCATTGGCACTCATACCACATCTTCTTATATCTATTTTGCAAGGTTTCTTCAATATCTTTTTGAATCAAAATGACTTTGAAAATTTTAGTTGTTTAATATCTCTTTTGTAGTCTAGCAACCCATTTATATCAAATTGTTCTTTTCTGTTACGGTTTAGTAGAGGAATATCCATATACTCATTTATATAGTACAAATGTAGTTCTTCCTATAGCACAACAATAATATATCTTTAGGACATACGATACAGTTTTGATCCCACAGTGAATTTTTGACAAAAGTTTGCATACAAGCTGTTTTTCACCTAGTCACTTCAATTATGTAATAAAAAATATACCTTCATGTGCTACTTTTTGAGATAAATGGGGTTAAAATTTAAGACATTTACTGGAAATTTTGGTTTCTTGGACATTTCTAAATTCTAAACTTTGGATTGATTGATTGATTGTTGGTTGCTTAACATCCAGTGGCAAATATTTCATGCATATTCAGGACGATAAACTTTTGAAAGACATCCTAACATTTTTGTTCTAAAAGATAAACGCAAACAGATTTTTGTAAAAACATTTGGAAAATCTTCTCTTCATAAGTGTGCATTGAATTTTGTGTAGCAATTTTTTGGAAACAATTCTTTTTTTTTTTCAAATTTTCATGATTTTAGTTAAAAAACAGCATTTTTTGCTGTATATTTATCTAATTTAAAAAAATTTCATCAGTTATTTGTTCATAAATATTGGCACAAATAATCTTCATACATACATTTTTTGTAATCAAGCCAAATGTCATTTTTAAAAAGAGGGGTCAGTGTACTTGTTTCCAAGTTAAGTCAGTCAGAATGATAAAATCAGTTGAAAATACATCTTCTGTCACAGTTTGATGTCGCGAAAAATAACATTTTACATTAGTGATGTCATTATCTCCCGTGTAACTGTATCCTATGCCCTTATAAGTTAAGATAATAAACATTGGTTGATTGTTGTTTGCTAAGCATTCAGTGATCATACACATGGAGTATTCCTGTACAACAGATATTACTGTTCACTATCACCAAAGGAATTGTGCAAGAATCCAGTATGCAAATTACTGAACACCAATACTAAACTCCTGTAAACAAGGAATTAATTGGATCTGTAATAATTTTGAATTCACGAAAACTGATAAGAAATGTATGATGAAAACTAACCCAACTAAATAGGGTTAGCCATGTGCACATGGTTAAGGGGGGTTAGTTAGTTCATACTGAAATATCAGTGAAAGTAAATTTCACCATAGCCATGCGCTCATGGCTAACCCTATTTAGTCAGATTAGTTTTCATCATACTTTTTTTATCTATTTTCAAGAATTCAAAATTATTCCAGATTCAAATAATTCCTTGTTTGTAATACAATGTACTATTTAATATTGTGAGCAATTAAAAACTAACTTTTAGAAATCTACAATGTACAACAATATACTCTAATATGTAAATACTGGAAATATAAAATTTTAAAATTAGTTTCTTCTATCCCTTAGTAAAAAAGTTTCTACATGTTTAATAGTAAAAAGTACAATTTTATACTACTCACTTTCATGTTTATCCAGTCCCATATAAATAGTGTGTGGTGGGGAAGTAACTGAAAATATAAACTAAATTTCATGCAAAGGAACATTTTTCATGTACAATGACAACTACTTAAAATATTATGATTTGATAACAAAATATAAAACATTAAATATATGGTATGTCTTGTTGTGATCTTAAGAAAAAAAGGAGAAAAACTCCACCATGTGTTAATGTACATGGTCCCATCCCAAGGTAACCTTGTAAGCAGTTGTCTTTTTCAAATCTTTATGTTTTTAATCATTGGAGAATTTGGTGCTGATGAAGGATCCTTGGTCCACAATGTTAAATTTATTTACAATTGTTTTAGCCTCAGGGCAATACAGAGCTTGACATATTGCATTAACACCTGTCTATTGTTGAGGACCACAATTTGATGACCATGTCCCCCATATAATCTTTGGCCAGTTTGGGTTTTTGTTTTGTTAGATTGCTGTCTCATTTATGTATATCCTATATCTCCTATTAATCACATCTAAAACAAGCATTCTGAGAGTATTGCATGGCAATACATAATCCCCTACCGGTTAAAAATTCATTGTACTGGAACAAAATGCTAACATGAACTATAACTTGACATGGCGTATAACAAATATCAAATCAATATCTTCAAGCATGATGAAAAAAAAATGTGGAAAACTGATTATTTGCATGAATTTTCTAATCCAGAGAACCATAACTCTGCAAAATAATCATCCTAACGGAACAAAATTCGAACTTGATCTATAACTTGTAATGGTTAAAAACTATAACTCTGCAAAATAGTCATCCTAACGGAACAAAATTCGAACTTGATCTATAACTTGTAATATGGTTAAAAACTATATACCAAATATCAAATCAATACCTTCAAGCATAACAAATAAAAGTGTGGAAAACTGATTACTTGTCTTATTTTCTAAGTCCGAGGACCATAACTCTGCACAAAATCATTAGACCGGAACAAAATTGAAACTTGGTCTGTAACTTGTCATGGTGAAAGTATATACCAAATATCAAATCAATATCTTCAAGCATTAAGAAAAAATGTGTTGAAAACTGATTTGCCGGACTGATGGGTGGATGGGCAGACAGACAGACGGACAGAGTGCAAACCTAAAGTCCCCTTCGACCTCGTCGGTAGGGGACTAAAAATCAAGTCACTGTAGTCAAGCAAAAGTTGGAAATCAAATAAATTTCTGGTAAATGTAACTAAAATGCTAATGCAACAGCGTACCACCTATCAATAGTCTATTTTTAGTAATCATTTAAAAACACACCTTTAATGTTAAAAAATCTAACAAATTCAACTATTTATCAACTTGACCCTTTCGGCAATTCAAGTGACCATGATATTTGATTTGTCCTGTATCTAAATTTTTTACTCCCATTAATGTTAATGTCGTTATCATGATTATTGACCCACAATCATTTAATGCATTTGTAAAAACTACCGGTAATGTGTAGCAGAAAGTACTTTATCCTGATGATCTTTCAACTGTAAAACTGCTTGGCATTGACATTGATTATCACTTTTATCAGTCAAATATAGATACTCATATCAGAAAAATATGCATGAAGGCATACCAGCAACGTAATATTCTTAAACATTATGGACCTTATTTGACAAGCTAGGCAAGCTATTTATATTCCATACATTTATTTTTGCAACTGAAATGGGATTTGATCATCATAAGATAACACCAGAACATCCGAGAGCAAATGGTGAGGCAGAGAACTTTATGAAGTTACTAAACAAAACGGAACAAATTGCTCATATGAAAGGTAATCACAGTAACGATCCGATTCAGGATATGTTAATGTGATTTAGATCAACACCACACCCAGCAACAGGATTCACACGGTATGAAGCATTAATGAACAGAGAAGTGAGGACTAAATTAGACCACGTACGGAACAACGATGAAACTGAAAACATGGACAAGGAGACCACACAAAGAGACAAGGAATACAAACAACGTTTTTTAAATAAAACATTCACAGAAAATGAAGTACAGAGAACATTCATTTAAAATCAGTGACCGTGTCTTATTCAAGCAAGAGAAAAGAAATAAATGGTCAACTGCATATGAACTTGAACCGTATATCATATACACAATAGCCTGATCAAGCATTGGAGCTCAGCGGAAGTCAGACGGAAGAAAAGTGTTTTGTGACTCTTCACACTTCAAACTCGCAAATAACATTGACATTCCAAACTCAAATGATAAGTGGCGAGGTAGAATTTTGATACACACTAAACCGAATGGAGACAAACACATGGTTGTACCAGGACAAAGAGAGATGCCGATCCGAACCAAGAGAGCACCTGATAGATTTAGAGACTGTGTGGTGTGATTTTAAATATGGACTGTAATTATTGAATTAGATATCATAAGTGAAATATTCAACAGTACTTTATTTGAAATGAATGATCAGAACTTTTGAAGAAATGGAGAAATGTAATGACTTTAATTGCGCGTAACGTAACTTTATTTTTGGTGTTCTGTATGTAACGTCACATCCTTGGTTACTTTGTTATGTGTTCTTATATAGATTCTAATATACGTTCCACTGTTATATTTGTTGTCTTATACATGCCCAAGTTATTTCAACTTTTATCAGTCAAATTTTGATACTCATATCAGAAAAATATGCAGGAAGGCATACCAGCAACGTAATATTCTTAAACATTATGGACCTTATTTGACAAGCTAGGCAAGCTATTTATATTTCATACATTTATTTTGAACAATTTCAATTTCTGCCCTTTGGCATATCATTTTACTTAGAAAAAGTACAAGGAAGATCACTAAGTTTTGTGTATAAACACTAGCTTAAAAGGGCTTAGATGTCTTCACTGTATAGAATAGAATAGTATAAAAAAATTTATTTTAAGTCGGTATTATATGAATACATTACAAACATAAGCTCTGTAGAGCCTTTTTGCCGACATTAATAACAATAACAACACATACAATGTTAAGACATATAAAACATACACATGAAAAGACATACAAAGTCAGACAGCTATATTGCATAAGCAAATATGTCCATATAAAATTTGTAAGGGGTTCTGCGGAACCCTGTGTCTCGCCTGCGATTGCTGCTGATAGTGTAAAAGTGTAATGTTGACTTAAAAAGTGAGTCCATTTATCAGTTAAATACAGAATTTAAAAAATTTTCAAACTTTTTCTTTAAATGCAATTTCTTGGTCTTGAAGATTAGCTTATTAGCTTCTGTCAAAGTTTCATAACAATCTATGAAGGTTTACAATTTATCATTTTCAAAAAAAATTTAATCACAGATGTCTGTAAATCCATGATCCATCTATCAGAAAAATACTCAAAATGAAAAAAAAAAAATTTCAAAGGTTTGCTTCAGACATAATCTCCTAATTATTAAAAAGCTTCTGCCAAACTTTCATAAAACTTTATGAAGTTTTGACAAAATAATTTATGTGTAACAAACTTTAACCCCAGACTGTATCTACTTGTTAAAAAACTAAGTCCATTTATCAGTAAAATACAGAAAAATGTAAATAAATATTTTCAAAATTTCGATCTGGATACTGTCTTTTGGTCATAAACAAACTTCTGTCCAAATTTCCTAAAGTTCCATGAAGGTTTGACAAAGTTATTGATGACTGAAAAACTTTAATCTTGGACTAAATCTGAATGTTCACTATAAAAAAAAATTAGTCCTCTTATTAGTAAAATTAGGAATTTATTTTCAAAATTATGCTCTGAATACTGGCCATAAACAAGCTTCTGTCTAAATTTCATAAAAATCCATTTAGTTTTGACAAAGTAATTGATATCCAAAAAAATTTTAACCACAGACTGAACCTAAATGATGACGACGCCGACGACGGAATCTAGGATCGCTCTGTCTTGCTTTCGCGAAATAAATTTTGCAGGCTCGACAATAAACACACAAACTAGCAAAGCACTCAAATAGATTATAAGCACATGCAAAGCAGACAAAATAAATAAGGCAAAACTAGTTCTTCAAGCTGCATGGAAAACTCAACATAAACAAGAATGTGTTCATAGTACACGTATGCCCCACTCGCACTATCATTTTCTATGTTCAGTGGACCGTGAAATTAGGGTCAAAACTCTAATTTGGCATTAAAAGATCATATCATAGGGAACATGTGTACTCAGTTTCAAGTTGATTGGATTTCAACTTCATCAAAAACTACCTTGACCAAAAACTTTAACCTGAAGCGGGACAGACGGATGGACGGACGACTGAATGGACACACAGACCAGAAAACATAATGCCCCTACTACTATCTTAGGTGGATTATAAAAACCTTTAAAATTCATGAATTAGCACCTGTCTGTTTAGATGATCTATCAAATGTAAAAGATTGTTAAAAGTCCTTTAGATATAATATTCTGGGTATTTCCCAGGTAAAATTGAAACAGTTTGGTAAGCAAAGGCTTAGATTTGAAGCTGCTACTCTGTGAAACAACCTTCTGGACCATTTGAAGACTAATAATAGGTTTTCTTTTTTACATTTCAGGGGCGTAGCCAGACATTAAATGAACAGTAGGCACAAATTACGGCAGCGAGTCTAGGGCAGAACCCTTGTAGGGATTCAGGGGGAAAAACGGTTTTCAGCATTTCTAGATGCAAAATTTTTGATTTTGGTGTACACAAAACATAAAATTTACTGGTCATTTTACAATGAAATAATTACATGAAAAAATTTCCAAGTTTAACAAATAATTCCAAAATTACATCTGACTGATGAATGACTGTCCAAAAATGATTTTCAACATTTACATAATATGCAAATTAGGACAACGTAAAACATAAAATTAACCATTAAAATGTAAAACTAATAAAGTACTAAATTTTCAGACATGACAATGACCAAATGTCTCTAGCTTTTAAACGAAATCAAGGCGTTCTAAATTTGTCAATAATGTCTGGGATGTTTTCGCTTCTTGAACTGTGAATGTGCAAAATTGATAAGTTAGATAGCCTTTCATCAATCCCATAGAAGGTAGCTCGTAAATA